GGCGGATTTGAAACAGAAAATCTTACTCATTAAATTTTGGTGATGCGAGAACTAGAAAACAAAGAAACGTATAAAATGATTATCACGTAATCGGTACACAATGGCACAAGCGTAAAATTAATATCGGTCGAGGTCAAATTTGACATTAAATTATTCGAACTTGTTTGTTTCCGTCCGACGTACATATAACTTTTTATAAATAAATATAATTATTTTTTATCATCATGTACAATTTATCTTGTTAGCACAGAGCCACATGCAGAGTACATACGTACAAGACTCCTTTCTCTCACTCTTTCTTTATTAGGGTTAATAATACTTTTATGTTAATTTTTTTTTATCGAAAATCTTTTTTTATTAAATTTCTTTTTCATTATTCCTTTCTCTAGGTCTCATAAGTTAATAGTCTCTTCGATTAAAAAAAAAACAGTAATTATTGAAAAGATATTTGCTGTAGGGAATTTATTATTTTATATATATTGATTGCCAATAAAACTGTTTCAAATCCTAAATTATAAATGGCATTAATGAAAATTATATATATTGATTGCCAATAAAACTGTTTCAAATCCTAAATTATGAATGGCATTAATGAAAATTTACATCATGACTTGTTATTTTAGTATGAAATCCAAAATGTTTGATTGGATACAATTTAGGGATGGGTTCAGAGACCAATACCTCGTTTGTTTCTATGCATTAATGTTTTGATGAAACTTGTATAGACATGAACAATGAAGGTCGTTTATTGTCCATTTTTTTGGAATGTCGATTAAAGACGAGCACGTACGTTGTTGGCATTTTACCCATATAAACTGATGAGATTATTGTGGCATTGTGACATTTTTTGTTCTGACGTAACATGACCAAATAAANCCCACATACNTTAACAAATATGTCCAATNTTAATNTGTTATATATACATGGNATAGTGTGTCCCTTTGATATATATTGAATTCCATAAACTCGACCGTTAGGTCGCGGACAAAAAGTTTTAAATTATTCATAACTTTTTCTTGTTTAGACTAATTATCCTTTAATTTTAATTAGTTCAAGAATCTTTAATATTTCAAGTTCTAGGAGGTATTACGATCGCATGAATGTATTGTGATCATAATAATAAACACAGGGATGAAAATGCATAGTACTCAATTTAAAAAAAAAATGCATAGTACTGTTTTATCAAAAAAAAAAAAATAAAGAGGACATGATAATTAACTTTGTTTTGCCAAAAATGAGAATATAATAATGTAAATATATAAGTACACATTTCAAATATTTGTTTATCCATAGATAATTTTGAATATAGATTTATAAAATTGCTCTGGATGCATACCAAAAATTATGAAATTCTTTACACGAGGTAACCTATGTATATAATAGTCGGCTTAAAAAGACACTAGGAAGTGAAAGGACATTTTTCAACAGTAACAAATTAAAAATAACATTTACTGGTTAGTCACACATCACAGATTTGATCCTCTCCAAGCTTGACCTGTTGACCAGCTAAGACTATAGCTGTCATGTTTGGATAAGGATGACAATTGTTCTAGATTGTTCTTAGAGCTCTCCCTATTTAATCAACGT